ATCACAAAAACTGCCTGGACGATCTTTACCATAATTGATCAGCATGATTCACAATTGTTTGAACTTTCAAAATCAACTTTAGCCTCTTATTTGCTATTTAAAAGAAACGGATATTGATCTTCGTGAAAAACTAGTCATAACAAATCGCGTTTCATGAAATGTTTAAAATTTTAAATTCGGTTAGTTTAGAACTTTAGATGAACATGCAAAATTTCATTAAAATGATATAAAATCAAAACAATTAATCAACTGATCAGTTAAGTGATATCTCTTCAAAACTAGTGCGGCCGTTTCTGAGAAAATCACAAGGGATGGTCAAATTCTGGATCCCATACATACACATATAAATACAAACAGACATATTTTTTCAAGAAAACATATAATAATTTTAAGTTTTCTCAGAAAATGCTAATTTTATTGAAATTAGCAAAACGGATAAAAATATTAAAAAATTAAATACCAAAGCTCTACTTTTTAACATCAATACACAGATTATTGAAAATTACAAATTAAATTGAAAATTGTAAGCAAATAGGTTTAGGAAACAGTGTGCAAAGATCATTATTACAAGAATAAAAAAAATAATACATCAACAATTCTTAAAAAACACGTATTAATTTAATGTACCAAAAAACAACAAACATTGAACTCCACAAAATGCTTCATATCTGGTAAAACAATTACTATTCTGAATATAAATTTTTTGTCGACTATTGCTCATTTAAAATGACGGCTTTTGTAAAAACAATGAGTGATTCAGAGAAAAATAGCTCCATTATGTACTTCTTGCCACTAGGTTTTTATTCAAAACAATTTATGACGCGAAGAAGATTAGCGCGGCAAACGTTAAAAGAATATCGTGTGCCGCCTGTTATTTTATGGAAACAATGGGCACTGTTTGTAAGCATTACATAACAATAATATTCAAATATAAGTAATACAAATGCTGTTTTGTCTTAAAGCACGCATTTATGCTAAACTACGTTGTTTGTCTAATGGATATTCGATGATATTATAATCTTTAGTGGGTTTTTAACACAGAATCTCATTGCCATGATAATCGCTCAAGATAGGCTTTATCATAGGATGATATTGTTTTCAAATTTTATTGGCCTCGTAAACAATATATGCGCATTTTGCTTGCTGATAAAGTTTGTAATTGATATTGAAAATTAAAGATTGCTAAATCATCATGTGAAAAGCAATCAAAGCTTTGTGATGAATATTTTTTAACTACTTCCTCAACTACTTAGGAGAACCCCCATAATATTTTATTTTTATTAAAATTTCTCTAATACTGAAGATTATTAATTTGATTGATGGAAAAGGGGTAGTTTTACTTAAAAACATATTTCGATCTGTATTTTAAAAGAAGTCTGATGTGGATACCGAATTGGTTGAAAGACCAAAGCTCTTACAAATGAGCCAGAAAAGCCCGATCATCATAAATCGACTATCAGTGTAAGAAAATTATGAATTAAAAGTAGATATTTATTTTTATTGAACTCTTCTAGCGTATTAAAATTCAATTGCAAATTTTATTGTGCTTATACATTTTTTAGTTCAATGAAAAATTAATTTTTATCAAATTTTCCTGGGCCTCTATAATAACTTACAATAAAGGACTCTAGAAATGTAAATATGTATAATAAACAAATAAAAAATATATATTAGACAGAATATTTATTTATGTACCTGAATTATTTCCAGCTGTGTTTTACTCGCGGCGATTGTGAAAGCGATAGTATTCATTCATTAGCATAATTACCAAGATTTTATAACATTAATTGAGTCGTTTGAATTAACAGCGTCATTAATTAACGATATGATGTACTCAATTCCAATTCAAAAAGATAAGCACGATACGTGACAAATGAAGAAACAAATTACAAAACCTTTGCGAGATATAAAATAACTTGTTATCGTGTACGCATCTAGAAATGATTACAGGTAATTCCGCTCGATGACAACAAAAGTATATATGTCAACGAAATTAAAATTAAAATTTATTGCACTTCTTAAATGTTAATATTATGGCCCTTCTATTACGAAGGTATATATGTTTTTGTAAACATGAGATCTTTATTTCAATCTAGCAAGAGTTTAACGAGCGTTGAGAAATTGCAGCATTTATTTTGTATTATGTTTTTACATAATCTTACATGTCAAAATTATCGAAGAAAGTTTATAACTAACATAAGATTCTGTTGATGGTGTTATCTTTATTAATCTAAATATATGTGTAGACAGTAGTGAAGTTGCTACTATAGAAGCCTAAGGGCAAATCGGTTCTAAGATTTCTAGTGCAATTATTTTGGAAAATATTTAACGGTTCAGCTTCAGATAGTAATATCAGATACATAAAACTCTTTTTTTGTTTGCACAGCCATCAGAAATATAAAATATGTTAAGAAACAACAACATTGTATTTTGAATCGTCGTGCCTAATGTTAAAAAGCTTGTGAAGAAGACGTAAAATTTCCGTTTAAAATTGGAGACGAACGTTTTCTAAGTAAGTTTACAACATTTACTGCGAAATAAATAATACTGAAGTTCCTCGGTATTGCAAAAATTTAGCAATTTTACGTAATGAATAAATACGCAATTAATATTTATTACATTCTGAGAAAGGCATTTTCATAACGGCTTTAAGTAAGGTGAAAGTTTAAAGTTTAAACACATAATAATAACTAGAGATATTTAAAACGTGAAGAGCCTATTAAAGCCAGAAGTTGTTCCAGCCATCTAGCCGATGACATTTATGAGAATGAAAACATTATATATAAAGTTTCCGCTACAAACAATGTATCTGCTTTATAAACTCGTCGGATTTAATTCTAGTACTTCTTAATACAGATGTAGATTTAATTCATCGAAGTGGCATTAAACACTGCATATTACCGCATATTACCAGTAGCCATGCAAATTCTGGAATGGGAACCTTTTGGAATCAAGGTGTATCAACGATTTAATTATGGTTTTAATCATTTTCAGTTGGCGCCAATTCTTGGCTGCTATTGTTATTTGCAATAAGCATGCGATGTAATAAAATCTCAAATCTATTCACTTTTCTCACAATCAGTACGTGCATAATAGCACATCAAACGATATAAATATAGAGTCATATGACTGAAGATAACATTCAACAAACATAATAATTTTCTAAAACTGAAGATAACATTTCTTAATAGTAATTGAAATTTTTGCAACTTTCAAGAAAAAACAGTATTTAAGTTGAAACGATAAATGCTCTTTATCGCGAAGAAAGGCACTTCATATTATAGACAAATGCTTCAAATTTCCAAATAAGGAAATTTATAATTATTTGAAACTTAATATTCATAACGAAGACTTTAATTTATATTTTAATTTATGGACTACATGAAATAAGCAAAACTTACTAATTCATTCGACCAAAAAGAAAATTCTTTTTATAAAAAAGAGATTCATATAAAATATCATAAAAAGTAATATTTCTTTATTAATTGCTTATAGTTTGAGTTCGAATAAGTATTAACGTATAAGTATCTAAACTTTTACCAACGACCTTTAGAAATTTCGTCCTTGTTTTATTAACACGGCCTTAAAAATCATACGTGTTTTTTGTTTGATAATATCTAAAAAATATTACGAGATACCCCAAAGGCAAAATCATAATAAAATGGCAATTAAAATTAATAAATTCTATGAAGAACTCAATTAATTAGTAATTAACAGTGATATGATATATTTTATGATTGAAACGATCTAAATTCATGGTCGCTGTAAGTTTTTTATAAGGTTTTCAGTGCACGTGGAAGAATATTAAATGATATTCAACACATTGTTAATATTTTTTAAATAATTAAGTTACACTTTCTGAACTAAAATGCGTTTTTCTGAGAATGTAATAAAATCTCAACTATTATTAAACAAATAGGAATCTTATTTCCACATATTCAATGATGAAAATAATTTAAATATTATGTATATGTTATTAACTTCCCGTAGGGTAAGTTATTGTAATGGGCCGAAAATCGGAATTGAAAATTTTTACATTTCTCGACGTTTTGAAGGTTTCTGAACGTTTTGGCATACCTCAGAAAAAATGGATGTGTGTGTGTGTGTGTGTGTGTGTGTGTGTATGTATGTATGGATACAAATTTTCGTCCACGTTTTCGGGCGTACGGATCAACCGATTTGAATGGTTTAAAAAACATTCGATTCCTATTAATAAGGAGAAGAGCTGATTAGTTTTTGGCAAAGACAGGTCCAGCAGGTACGGAGATAAGGAGCAAAGAGTGCAGAAAATAGAAATCGAGTTTTTGAGAGAACGGAGCATCCGATTTGAATGATCTAAAAAACATTCCATTAGTAATGATTGGGAGAAAGGGTTATTAGTTTTGCGCAAAGGCAGGCCCAGCCATTTCGGAGATACAGAGCTAAATGTACAAAAATGGCAGTTTTTGAGAGAACTAAGCGTCCGATTCAATTGATTCAAAGAACTTTCTGCTTGTCTTAACAAAATAATTGATTTTGGAAAAAAAAATTTTGTACCATTTTTTTTTTTTTTTTTTTTTTTTTTTTTTTTTTTAAATTTTTTGTATATCGAAAATAATTCAGATTTATTTTTAATTCTGACTATAGTTCTAATATACTTTAAACAAATAATTTCAACTCTGCAATTCAGTTTATATAATTATTATAAATATTAGACAATAATACAATATTTATAATAATCTATTTGAAAACATTCAATATTCCTCGAACGTTTCGTTACGGTACGGGAAGTTCCAGCAATTTGCCTTAAGGCACGATGCCACCCACCCCACTAGTTTATTAATTTGATTTATATTCATTGATTTATTAATAAATGTGTCTCTACACCCGTATTGATAGCTAGGTTGATTGTATAGGTTAAATATAATTGGAAAAGTTACATGCAAAAGTTTTAATTGGTTTTAAATGTAATGGTATAATTCGAGAAAACTAAAACTAATAGAGAACAAAGAAGAACTCACCATTTCGTCGAGGCTTTTAAGATCGTTCGTGACAATTTGTCTATGAGGTCCGTAGACAAGAAGTACGCCGTCTCCTTCCCTGTCATTTTCGCTGTCGGTGTCGCTCTCCTGGCCATCGGTGCTGTTCAATGCCGAACCGGGTGCATTTGCCAAATTATCGGCTGCAATCTCCCGATCGATCTGTCTCTCCATCTGCACGAGCATTGGGGCGAGCATTCCTTAGGGACACAAAAATAAATCATCATTAGATAATTAATTTATAGACATAGAAAATTGCAATGAATTTGTTTACATTCTAATCCTTAAACATAGTATTTGAATACTTTATTCCAAACTAAATTAAATTTCCATAGACAAATGGAAAAGTTAATTAGCTATTGAGCACTGTTAATGAATTTCCCAAAGATTTTGAAGATAGCGTCGTAAAAAGTCTAACATCTCCATATGATACAGTAGACACGCATGCATTTCAATAAACGTTGACTCATTCTCAGAATAGAAATTACCATTTTTAAATATCAAAAAACCTGTATCTTTACATACATATGCATGAACCTACATATGCATCATTCTTAATTATTTTTTGCTGCTCAACAACAGTTGGTGCGTATTGTGTCAACATTGGATCTATACTTCTAGGTTGGATTTGTCAATGCAAATTAATTGATGTGTATTTATTTATGAAGACGTTAAGACATTTTATTTACAAGAATAACGGTTCGAAAATCAATATAACAGTACAGTATGCAGATACTAAAGATTTCTTTTTTTTTCAATAGAATGTTTATTAAATCTATCAAAGGTATCGGATATGCTCGCTACATCTTATTGTTAGACGGAACACATTGATAAAAAATGAAGAAAAAAAAAATACTGAACAGAACCAGTTTTATTGCATTTAGATAAATAGATATGTACAAATCTGTTTACAAATTGTTCAAATATGATGCGGACATGAAAAATTTTTTATGCATCTTGATTGTTCGCAAATGTTAAAAACAGTTTTTTCTTGTACTACTTTATTCTCAAAGACATAAATAAATTAATAAATGCAAATATAGAATAAAAGGATTAGACTCTCGTTTTCGGAAACAAAACAAATAAGGACAATATTGAAATGAATAATACGTATTTAAATCAATATCTCTCAGGTCCATTGTAAGGATTTTGACTGACGTGTACTCATTGTGTGTACATTCAATATTGTACTTAAGAAATATCTAGATTCATATCCATTATAAGGATTATAAATGACGTATATAATTCATTCATAGCACCTGAGTTATCAAAAAAATTCAGGTAAAAATTAATCGTTTCACAGAAATTATTCGTTACTAAACAAATAACACTCTCAAGATAAACAACAAAGCGGTAAAATTCAGCTCATCGAAAAACGTGACTCATTAAGAAAATAATATCAATAAATATCTTTATATTATGTACTGTCGTAAATGTATTCCATACAATTCCATAAAAGTACTTTACGGTATTTCACATCTAATCAATAAATTCAATAAGTCTGCAATAATCGAAATAGATACGCCGCGGCTCACGTATAAGATATAGGAATGATACGGTGTTAAAAATACATTAGAGATAAATTATGAATAATAATGCTTCGTAATTTGTCTACATTATGGACACAATAATTAGATCAATCGACGGAGATTGAGGCGGAATATTGAGGTTAGATGTTCAAGACGCATGAAACACTCATTTCTTGACTTAATGGAAATCTTATAGGTAGGTACTGGTAAATGGTATTTAATCAATATTGTAGGTAGTCATACGTAAACCATGAAATCATTCATTCAACATAGAAGGTAGTACCATTAGGAAAAAACTATTACGGGTTCCTTGCAGTTAATTAGGGATGCAATAAACTTTTTGGATACAATCAAACAATTGATTAAAATATAAATTCTTCACGTACAAAAATCATGATATTTCTAAGAAATCGAATTAAAAGATAGAGAACGCAAAGTCAAATAATAGTCAAGTCATATGCACATTTATCAATCCAAGTTATTATGAGTGGCGCGTATTTTATTCGCCATAAACACGTTTGCTATCGCAATTCTGTTAATGAGTTTTTAATATTGCGATTTGCGACTAATCGTTTGCACGTCATTTGTGCATACCTATAGTTGTTAAATAATAAATAATTATATATTATCTAACTAGATATTTGAGTTGGAATATCTATATTACGACATGTATTTATGTATAAAACTAGTATTGCATGGCATCGTGCCTAAGGCAAATTACTGGAAGTTCCCGTACGGTAATAAAATATTCGAGAAACTTTATAGACAAAATATAAGTGCTTATAAATTGGACCACAACGTTTCACTTTCGATTTTTGGACAATTACAAGAACTTACCCTACAGGAAGTTAATGATAAACGTAGGTACAGTATATGTAACAGTAAAAGTTTAATTAAGCCAACCACACGAAAGTACGACTTTTAAAACTGTGCCCTCGGTAAGAATCGAACCCTTTGGGCGCTGATCTAACACTCTGTCCACTACGCCACAAAAGAAATGGGCTGCTTGCTTTTTTGGGACATTCGATAGGTTGGTTTGTTGGCACGAAAGTACGACTTTTAAAACTGTGCCCTCGGTAAGAATCGTACCCTTTGGGCGCTGATCTAACACTCTGTCCACTACGCCACAAAAGAAATGGGCTGCTTGCTTTTTTGGGACATTCGATAGGTTGGTTTGTTGTAGTGGTTAAACTTGTTGAGGATAGTTGAGGATAGTTGTTGGTCGGTTAACCCCGAAAGCCATGGGCTAGGTGGACAGTAAAAGACGGTAAGGTATTGTAGAGTAGCCAAGAGTGGTTAGAAGCTGCATTGACCCTGACTTTCGGTGTTACCTAAGTTACGGTTAACCCCTAACACACCCCTGAAAGTAAACACGCACATCGAAGTAATCGCTAGGAGATTTAAGTGAGAGCAAAATTAGTTGTGCATCTTATCTACTATAACTTACCTTACGGCGAAGTTAATAATACATAAAAATCTTCGCTTAAGGTAGTAAGTTAATAATATAAGAATTAAGTAGTATATAGCCCACGAGCATACATTTATCCAAAGATGTTTTATGAACATATGATTAAAAAATATATACAAATATAAATTGAGGTCATGTGTAGCACATAAAATAAAATTATCATTTATTGTTCAAAATTTCCTCTTACCAAATTTCGCGCCGCGCCTTGCTACCTCGAGCAAACAGAGGATGACATGCTTTTCGTTTTTCCGCATGATAAGATCGTCGGTTTCGAACAAGAGACATTCATGAATTCCTAAACATCTTCGACACCAAGCTATAAAATTACTAACGTTGTCCCTGGCAAAAAAGGTTCCTGAAAAAAAAGTTGATTAAAATATATATTCTAGTTGCTTCTTATCTTATAACATAACTATTCGATTTGGATTATTACTGAAAGTGTTAATTTCATCAAAATCCCTTTCTATAAATTTTGTATCACAATGGTGTCTCAACAAAACCTTTTTAGCTTAATATTTTACGTGCAGTTTATGGAAATTCAATCAAACGAGAATAATTTGTTATATAAGACATGTTGACATTTTAATTTAAATTTATGAATCAGTTTCACTATCAGCATTGCTGGATTAGCTAAACAGCCTCCGCACGAACGCGATCTCGTACGTAATAAATAGGAATGCAAGAGATTTAGCGCCGTGGTGACGGCGACAGATAGGTGATAAGTCCGATACATTTTGCGAAGGCGAACACTGGACGTTTATTTGAACTTTTTGTTTATTGGCAGGGTCAGAAGTCATTTGTAACTCGAAGCGAACGGATATTGATGCAATGGTTGTTCTAGAATATTTTATACAGCTTGGTATTTATGTTGCACTGGTTTATGCTAATTTTAGGTTCTCTCTAAGATGTCATAGAAATTTAAAGAAACGCCAGTTGACCATAAGATAAAGTAAAGTGATACTTGAACTTAACACTGTCGCTTTTCAGAAGTTGATATACTTTTATTAGAATTTATCTATATATTTTCAATTGTGCAGTTTTCCTTATAATTTTAATTTAATTTCCAAGACGTAATATAATATTGTTTCATCCACATACTTTGTTTAGAGATTACCTAAATATCTTTTAGAATTCTGAGACCAATTATAATGTACCAGTTTCATCCTGGTGTGCATATCTTTAATTAGAGATTATCTAAATATCTTAGAATTATGTGAGAGAAGTGATCAATTTTAGTATTTGTCATCATAATGTAAAACATTTTCAAATTACAAACTTTTTGTACAAACGGTTTACCCTAACGAGCTTCCTACAATTTTATTTTTATTTCCAAAATGAACCTGATATCAAGTATCAGATCGTCCGTATCTCAAAATATTTTGTGCTAAATTCAGATTTTAATTATTAAGAACAAATAAAAAACAACAAGTTTCTAAAATGAATTAGACATTGAACGTAGCTTTAAAATATAGCATTTTATAGAGGCTTTTAAGTCATATATTTGCAAATAACGAAGGTAAGTCAATAGTATAATATTACTTTGTAAAATGTATAAATTCAATTAGTCAGAATAAGATATAATGGTTGAATGGTCAAGGTAAACGTGAATTTAGTAAAAAAATCATATATTTATTGCAAAAATCTAATACGTAGTTAATATATGTATTCGATACAAAGAAAATATGATTTTATAACTCTATATATAGCCTTGAGACGATGACTATCAGACGTGTAAACTTCACCATAATTATACAAATACCTCTTATCACTATTCACTATTCATACATTAGCATTTAAACAAAAAAAACTGCAAATACAAATCTTGAAACTACGACTGTTTTATTTAAAGTGTCAATAAATATTACCACCAGGAAACACTCACCAGGTCTAGCGGCAGGAAGTATTGGCAAATCGTCCTCTTGGTTCCTCAAGAGCGACAACAGATGTTGATGATGGACTTTGACGCTCGTCGTGAGACTAGTTGACGACGTTAAAGACACCGACTTTGCGAGCCTCCGAGATACGTAAGACTCGGCCATCGCTCGCACATTGTTGGCATGCTGTAAATAAAATAAACAAATGATATAAATAAGTATTAAATACAATATTGTCTTAGGACGATGTTGTAGATTTTATCACATGGTGAATGGACTGAACAATGTCCTCATAAAATTGACCTCTACTTAGAAAGGAAAAGCCATGTGGCCAATATTGACGCGTTTTCTATAAGATTCAGTGAAAAATGTTGTTTGGTGTCTGAGAAAAAGTCTGACTCACAAAAGTTTCAGCTCGAAGAACATTTTTTTAACTAAAAACCAAGTTAAGCGCATGTAGCTGTTTCATGTTCTTATTAGTGTTTTATAACTGATCTAAGTATATATAATTAGCAGTCGAGAATTTCATAAATATTTAATTGTAATTTCATTTTATTAAGTTCATTGATTTTAACGCCCATTACATTGAAAAGTATTAACAGTTGATATAATAACACAAGAAGTAGAGCAAAACACGATGTTCATGAACAAATTGCATAATCACAATCAAAACAGGTTTATTATAATCTGAGATGTATTCCATGTTTTTAATAAAATTGTTGATTGCTGACATAAGAATTTCATTAAGCTGCTACAACTTTCATAACAAAATATGTGAAATCATATATGGTTTTTTTATAATCTGAATGTCAACTTGTTTTCAAATTTACTCCGAAATATCAGCTAAAAGCTTTTTAAATTAGTCAGGCTAATGTCAAAAGCTAAAAGTAATTATACATTCAATTCATACAATAACTTTAATAAACATATCAACTAAACTCTATTTAATCTAACAAATCAGCGTTACTAATCAATGTTCAATAAAATTAAGATTGAAATTGCATGCCAATATTCATTTGCGAAGAATTATTTATGAGATAATAATTTCTAATAATGACATCGTAAGTTAATTAATAATTGACAAGTTGTACTCGGCGTCTGAGTCAGAATCAACGCACTAATTTACGTCTAAAGAGAAATGTTGCAGTCGATTGAAATAAAATACAAATTTATATTATATTGATACTAGCACTATAATTAATAATATTATGATAACGTAATTAGACTAGAATACATAGATCTTTCTGATTAATAGAGTACTCTAATAACTTTAGAATAATATAAAGGCAAGGATCAACCTTAAAATCCCTAACATAATACAGATCCACTTAAAATTAGTATTTCTTGTTGATGTTAGTAAAAACATCGTATACAAAAGAATTATTCATCAATAATTATAATATAAAAATGTGTGATGTGCTATGATTCATGAAAATATTTTGGAATTAATTTTTTCCTAATCTATTTTTAGCTCTTGCACCATTCGATGAGAATTTCTCAAAGAAAATAAAATACAGGAAAATGTGATGATTAAGACCGGATTACTAATAATACACTTTAGTATTTTCGTAGAAAAAGAGATAAGAAATAACTTATATTATGTATCATGCTAGTAGGTCGTCATTGTATATTCAGTTGTAATTAAGATAATTAAAATTTTGCTAGAACTTTTCTTTATTTTAGAGTGTCTCAATATTATATAGAATCACACAAGACTCATTGAATTATTCTATTACCATTCGGCTGTTTTTTACTTCGGTTAGTAAAGTTCCCAAGCTCCTACACGAGATGTAAAATTTCACTATCGTTCATTTTAGCTCTACGCATATCGGATTGAATTTTACGACGGCATGCATAAACGCATAACAAACAATGGATTCATTTTCTTTAATGAAAATGCATTTATTGTTGTGCAAATCGTATATTTTGCGTATAAGGTGTTCATTGAATGACTTCGTATTGTGATTATGACATGCGAAACAGACGTGACGTGTTACATGTCTCCGTTGGCGCTACAATTCGATATATCAGAAAGATTTAGAGAAACGAATATTAATGAAATTTATTTGAAAATTGAGTATGAGTTGTATTTGTTGAAGATTTGACCAGCCTCCTATGTAATCAACCCGAAATTCTTGAACAACAACAGTCCTTTAGATTGTTTTGAGTTGGGAGTTTAGCAAGAAGGATGAGAGTAATAACATGCAGATTTTCAATATGAATACAACACAAAATAATTGTTCACACGCCTAGCTTAAATAAGACAATAAAAATACTACAAAATCTGCCAAAAATCCCATAAATTTCCCAAGCATTTATATTCACAATAATGAGTATTCTCCATCAAATAAAGTACCTACAAATTAACTACATCCGTTTTTATTCCAACTGTTGATAACATCAATGACAATTTCCCATACAATACTTAATTGGCGATCAATTTAGGTTATAAGGAAGTGAGCGACATAAGGGACACTCTCTCCCAGATTAGATATGAAACTTGGATGTTAGTTCATATACAACAAAGAACATTCAACAGATAGTCGACGAACTACAAATGCAATATTTAAATTGTTCAATGAGATAAACATGACCCATAAAATATTTTATGAACACATGTCATAGCATCTATCAGCAACAAAGCTACTTATTTGAAAATGGAAAGTCGATAATTGTAGTTATTGATATTAATGCTCTTGTGTGATTATATTTATTTCCTTATAATTCGTGGAAGTGAACTAAAGATCAAGAAATAATATTTATTATTCGATCAATAAAGATTATCACAGAATTGTTTATAGAGAGTGCAGACTCGTATTTTTATTACCATAAAAAAGTGAAGATATTCATTGATGACTTAGTAAATTTGTAAGAATGTGATAATTGATAGAGCATCATTGTCATGTGACTACTACTAATAATCAAATAAAACATGTAGGACGTTGTCTGCATTGTACTAGTATTATTTAGTATACTGTGATATGCATTTCAAATTTTGTTATGACTAGAACCGATAATAAGGTCATTAAAAATTATCATTTTGAATAATATATCCTATTAAAAATAAAAATGTGTTATAATTATTTTTGCACGATTTTAAAATTCCTACACATAAATAAAATATTCATTATCGATGCTGTTTTTTTTTAAAAGTATAGACTTTATATTATTATTTCTATTTATTATGAAATGTATCAATTTTAATTAGAATATAATAATAACTATAAAATAATAAATCATAGTGATTTAATTCACAAAGCGCAATTAAACTCATTGAATAAAAATGTTACAGATCGATACTTAGCATTAGCAAACTCTATTGTACTATTGATTATGTATCAATAATTCAACAATTAGATACAGATCTCTCTTTAATGACCGATATCTTAACAAGCACATATGTATTCAACTTTTAAATTATACACATATTGTTAGTAATCATCTTTCAAATGATAGGTTTATCGCAACACATACGACCAAAAAAAGCTACTTGACCTCATTGCAATATAGCAAGAAATGATTGTACACGTACGTGAATGCATATGATATTAATAAAATTTATGTAATGATCAAGTAAACGACGATTACTTAGAAATATCATGATCTGAGATATGTCGATATTGTATAAATGAATTAAAAATTCAATTCAATTCTCTTTTGTATATAATATAGATTCAAGTTTTAGAGTAATAGATAATAGGACTTAATAGAATTTATATCCGAATTGGCGTGAAATTTCAGGAATGTTTCGATTAGAAAGTGCATACTATCCATGATAGCTGTTGCAAATCGAATTAATTTATAAAATCATTAAACTGATACGATCCTATTATGGATTAAAATTGAGCAGCAATTAATAACCCAGCGGTGACAAGAACTGGGCTTGTTCGAACCACATACCGTTGGCATAACCTGCATGCTCTCTATATCAGCTTAGAATATTTTACCTTATTTGGTCACAGCGATCAAATATAAATGTTAATGAGCAGCATATAACTATAGCGAATTAATTGCGTGTAAATAATTGCGATACAGTACCTACATATTATATTTTCTAAATAAACATTGCATATTGAATAAGGTTGCCCATTTCCAAGCCACCTTGAAAGCGGCTGCAATAAATTAGCATAGAAAATTAATTTATGTCGTAAGAATATGAAATTGATATCATTCATCAATATGACAAAAATAATTATGTTTCATTTTAGATAAAAGATCGCTCTAAAAATCGCTTTTAATAGAATCAGCATTTAATATGGCTTTATCAGTATTTAATACAGATTTATTTTATTATGGATTTTATATAAATCAATTATAAAATAGTTACAAACATTTTTTTGTCACTCAGGTCTATGAAACAATGATATATTCAATCCAGGAATCAAAACAAAAGACTTGACGTCATTCTTCGCATCAACCAAACATATGTATGTTGATCATAGACTTTATACACATGTATATTATAATGTCTTTGATGTCGATTAATTAAATTTGTTATTTTTATGGTACAAAATACAATGCAACATAACTTTAATCATGAAAAATAGAAATAAAATAAAATTTTCTTTAAAAGCTTCTAAATACTAAATATTTTTCAATTGCTATGTGCAAGTGAAAAAAAATGATAACATTACATGATATAAAATCAGAACTAGTGGGGCGCATGGCATCGTGCCTTAAGGCAAATTGCTGGAACTTCCCGTACCAAAAATTCTTTTTTTTTTTAAAAAGATCAACATTTTTGAAAAAAAATTACTCTGAAAAAATTAGATTTTTGAGAAACTATAAATTTTTGACAAAAATTTCCTTTTTTTGAAGATAAAAATATTTTGAACTTTTTTTCAAAGCAATCGTACTGCTTTAACTGCATAGAGACGAATCATCGAAGCGCGTAAGCGCCGCGTCACCGTCTAACGAATAAACATTGGTACGGAACCCATAGGAATGTAAACAAAATTTATACTTATTGTTAAAATCTCTATAAAATATCTGATAATTTGATGCGCATATGTCTAATAATCATTTTTGACAGCCAAATAGCATCTTTTTTTTACTTTTTTCTACTAGATCTCCGAAACCGTTAGATCTGCTTTCATGAAAATTTGATCAGTTCTTCATCTTGTTAATACAAGTAAAATGTTTTTTGAATTATTCAAATCGGACGCTCCGTTCTCTTAAAAACTGAG